CCCTTGACGGGATTCGAACCCACGACCTTACGGTTGCGAGTCCGAGAGCCTAACCACTAGGCCACCGACGCCACATTCTCGGCTTCCCGGGAAGCACACGGTGCAAGTAGCTGATTAAGCTCTAAAACGCTAACAAACTGACAAGATTACGCTGCCTATAGCTGGGTACCCATTCTCACTTGGCTGAAGTAAGGCAAATGCATGTACAGTGCCTTTCCCAAGGACACAACGTCCGGCCCCTGACTGGGTTCGAACCCTGACCTAACGGTTGCGAGTGATATGAAAGAAGGGTGGGGGCTATTTGCAAACTTGATAACATTCAATGTCCGACTTTTAGAAGTTTTGGTCACAACTCGCTACCTCAAAATTATACAGTTCTATCCGCTCAGCACCGAGATTTGAGAAAGTCGACGTAAAAGATTTTGAGTTTCACATCATGTCAAACCTTTTTCGAATGCAACGCTTTGGACATCTCGATAACGACATGAAACAATCTAACGATTCTGATAGAGCAGATAAAACATTATTGGTTTCTGACCTCACTGTCTTAGAAACTCAAAACAGCCAAAAATGTTAGCAACAAACTTTGTAATTCTGAGCTAATGAATTGTTAAGGCTGCTAGAAAAATATTCCCAATTTTTTTACGGTCAATGTCCATGGTCCATAGAAGTTCAGAACGGGAATCCAATGTCTTCTCAGAGATTAGGCTTAAGCTAAACACCGGAATAATACAGTTAACACAAGACAGCAATACGCTCATAAATTGTTGATTGCATAAGCTCAGATCCCCTTTCCTTTCTTGGTATAGATACAATTATGTATCAAAGGAAATGCCCAGAAGACTGGCAGGAAACCATAGTGGTCCCATTATGGAAAAAGAAAGGCAAAAAACGGGACTGCATATCTTTATTAAATCACGCAGGGAAAATATACGTAAAGATACTAGAACAGTGGATAAGACCTATTGTAAAGGGAAATCTGAGTAAAACTCAGTTTGGATTCCGGAAGGGAAGAGGATGCACGGATGCTATATTCGCATTTAGACAGATATGAGAGGAAACAATCGATTACAACAAAGAATCCAACATCGTCTTTATAGATCAGGAGAACGCTTTTGACAGAGTGAACCACGCAAAACTGTGGAAGACACTCGAAAAGTATGGTGTCTGAGGACAAATGTTAGATGTCAGAGCTCTATACACCAACAGCAGAAGCTGAGTAAAAAAATGGAAGGTAATACAGACTGGTTCAAAGTAAGTTCTGGAGTACGACAGGGATGCGTTCTATCTCCCCTCTTGTTTATAGTATTATATGGACACAATAACGCAAGAAGCAAACCAAAGCCCAAAAAGGCTAAATGAACTTCTATTCGCAGACGACCAATGTCTTATTCATCCAAACCAACAGAGCCTCCAAAATCATACTACCGAACTGAACAACAGCTGCGAGATATTTAACAGGAAAATAAGCACATCAGTAACAGAAGGTATGAAAGTGTGCAGAAACCATAAGGAACTGAAACAGGTGACGGAGTTTAAATACGTTGGCAGTACTTTCTCTGAAAACGAGTCCATAGACAGAGAAATAGAAATGCGAACTCAAAAAGCCAACGCTGCCACCTGCCAGCTCGCACCCCTCCTATCCCATCCAAACATCTCCATGGACACGAGGAGACAGCTTATCACTTTAATATTCATATCGACATTATGCTACCAGTGCCAGACCACATGCAAAATGAAATGTCTCCGCAAAACCCTTAACATCACAAGACGAGAGAGGCAGAGAAATGAAGAAGTAAGAGCAGCTATCGGCATTGAGCCCTGCCTGCATTATAGAAAGACAGAGAATAAAATGGTTTGGCTACTGGTTACATATCATGTCACCTGGCCAGCCAGCCTCGAAAGCCTACAGTACAACACCAAGCATTCAGGCTATAAAGGAAGAGGAATGCCACGCAAAAGGTGGATCCAGGGTGTCAAGGAAACCCTGAGAAACATAATATCACAACTGAAAGAGCTGTGAAGTTGGCCTACCATAGAAAACTGTATCTCCCCTGGACGCTTAACGGCAACAGAGGGTGATAAAGGAGAAGTAAAGTAAAGTTACAATTATTTAAAAAGTGGGACCTTCGAATATGACAGCTTCTCTGACGATACTGAGAGTAAGCAAAAGCCTTGACACCCCCCTCGCCACAAAAAAACAACAACAACCAAAGTTCAAGAATGCCTCTCGGGAGACTCGATCCTGGGTCGTGCACACTTTAGCTCAGCTGAAGATGGGTACTGTGCATTAAGAAATACAGTGATGCGATAGATAGATCGATAGATAAATAGATAGATAGATAGATAGAGAGAGAGAGAGAG